TTGGAAATTGGAAAAATGAATAACGTATTTGAAGATTTAGAGAGTAGATTTAGGCAGGGAAGAGTTGGATACACAAAACTTAGTAAACAATAAAAGAAAACAATTATTAACTCTGGGGAAAACTGTTCAGAAGGGGAAAGTAAACGTAGTGTACTACATGGCTCAGCTGTGAATTGCGTTTATGGAGTCATAATTACGTCAACTCTGAATGTAATCACTTAACCAAAATTATGATATTGGGGAGTTGGGGGGGGGTTGCTGTGTGAGGTTAGAATAAGTAAATAAGTTTAAAAAAAAAAAGAGTATGTTTTTAATAAGTACACTGAACAATTCAAATTAACTAGGACTGTCTAGACGCCCTATCTGAAACTGAAAGAAGTAAGGATAAAACAAAAGACATTAAAGATGGGAAGTTAAATACCAAATGAAACAGTTAAGGAGATGAAAAGTAGTTTAAAGTGGGAAATGGGATTAGAGGACATCTGACTTTTAGTATGTTTTGTAAAACTGGACTCTAAACTCTGTACATGCATCCATAGGTAGAAGTACACCATAATTTTTAAAATAAAGGAATGAAGGACATGGAAACAGCAACTGTACACAACTCTGACGAGTGTTTTTCCTAAGAAAGTGAGAAAAAAAGGGCAGTAGCTGAAAGGGGTTGGTGGGTCAGCAGGGGTGTTTTTGTTTGCTTGGATTATTGTTGACCAGAATAATTGTAGAGGGAGAAACTAGTGTTGTAGGAATGGAAAGTCTTCAGAGTTGGCAGAAATGGCATTCAGAAGACAAGTAGGGTATGCCATTAATAATAAACTGCATAGTGTACTTTTATTTTGTTTTCTTTGTTTGCTTGTTTGTTTGTTTTTGATGGGCTCAAATACCAGCACAGGGTTTATTCAGGACACAGTTTACTTTTAATAGAGGATGCATTTTATGTGTAAGGGTTCTGTTCCAAAGATGAAGTGCAAGACACTGAGATTTCCTAGTCCTTAGCCTTTCACAGTTCCAGTTCTACAGCCATAGCCACATAGGCATGCAGAGTCATTTATCAAGGGCTGTTCTCTCTTCCTCTTGTGAGGATTCATTCTAAAACAATGCTGTAATTTTTTAGAATCTACTCTTCCAATAATACCGTTGGTCTTCAGTGGTTTAGAGTTGCATATTAATTTATATTATTTTCTAATTTCTAAATAAAGAAGGTAATAATTGAAGTAGAATTCCTTATGCCTTAAAACTTTTAAAATGCATGTTATACCCAACATCATTATTCAGTCAGTATTTAACTAATGACTCTAGGGCATCAAAATTTTGCATAAGATAAAACCTGCTTTTTTACTTTTGGAAAGAGACAAATATTAGGCTTATGGTTCCATTGGAGAATAGTAAGTTTTAACTACTTAAATATGTAAGATGTATATGAGATCTTTTATAATAAGGCTCTTCTGTGCTTGACTTGCCCTCATTCCTGTCATTCCTATTCTCACTTAATGCTCTACCAATTAAAATCTTACATTTTCACATGCCTAATTTTTCTAAAATGAAATTGCTACACTTCTTGAGTTTCTCAGCTATGATGTTCTCCCATCTCAAGAAAGCTTATACCATTGCAAATACCATTTCTTTGGCTTAGAATCCCTCAGTTATTACTTCTACCTGTCTTGTAATCTGTTGCTGCTCAAACTTTAAATGGTCATTGTAATCATGTGTCATGACCTGGTGAAAATGAAGGTTTTGATTCAGTAGGACTGGGATTGGGATCTAAGATTTTGCCATTTCACAGGTTATCAGAGGATGTTGATGCTGCTGATTGTCTGTGAACCATAGTTCCAGTAACAAAAATCTTGACCCCTGACAGACTCATTGTCATCAAAAATATTTCCTCTGATTTCCTTTCTTCAAAGATGCCATTAAACAACATATGCCTTGGTTATACCATATATAACTAGGCAACCATCTTGCCCACTGCACATTCTTGCCTATAGAAACTGTCTTTCATCCATGTATACACAAAGCCTGCCGAACTATTTAGCAGAAATTGTTTCAAAAATATTGTCAGTTAGATGGTGTTATTATAGCTTGTTTACAGTTACATAGTCAAATATACATAATGAATTAAAAAAATGGCACTTTTGATTATTTTATAGTAAAAAGAAAATGAATTATGAATCTGAATTTTTTTCCATGCTAAATCCCTGTGATAACATATAGTATTTCTCAAGATATAACTTTGTTTCTAGAAGTAAGTGTTTTAGAAAACTAGTAACCATTTATTTTTCTTTTCACTTAAGGAGAAGTACAAATGTCTACCACAAGACGAAAATGTAATATGTTATGTTGTTTACCGTAAGCTGTAGTAAAATGAGCTCAATTGTTGACAGGTATGTTTATTTTAGAGACTCTTTTATTTTGAATTGTATAAGCTACTTGAAATTCACTATCAGAATAATGGTCTATAGCCCATTAATGGGAGGATTTTTATGCTTAAACATAACTACTAATACATTTAATTCCTATATTGAACAACTATGATGTAATAGTAAAGAGCCACCATGTGACGGGTGCTGTGGCTCACCCCTGTAATCCTAGCTACTTGGAAGGCAGAGATTGGGAGGATTGCAGTTTGAGGCCAACCCAGGCAAATAGTTGGGAGAGAACCCATCTCCTAAATAACAGAGCAGAATGGACTGGAGGTGTGGCTCAAGTGGTAGAATGCCTGCTTTGCAATCACAAAGCCCTGAGTTCAAACCCCAGTCCCACCTAAAAAAAAAAAAAAAAATCCATGTCACTAGCATATAGCTTGTGTTTTAAGTGGATCTTAAGTATTAAATTTGAGTGTTTGGGGTAAAATCTGTTCTGAAAGAAATTATAACAGTTTCAGATGTTTCCTTGGTACCTTCTAGAGTATCTCTGCTAACTCCATCCTTCAAGCTTCTTGGCATGTGTGACTGATAAGAGATAACTGTAACTAGGATCATATAGTCTTTAAATCTCACTCTTGGGATTAGTTCTTTGCAAACACCTTGAGTTTGCATTTTAATATGTCTAATATTTGGTGGGTCTTACAGTTGACATATCAGAATTTAATTGGTAGCATTTTATTTTCTTTTTTAGGGACACCTAAAAATGTTGCATCATATAGTCAATAATGTCTTAAATTTGCTGAAATGTAACATTTTTAAGGTACTTTCTCTTTGATAGCTAAGGAATGGAATATGTTATATGATACACGATTTAATCCCTTAATTCCATAATCTTTTACAGATGTAGGTCAGGGAAGTTAAATAACTTCTTTAAGGTCACATAGTTGGTAATTGGTAAACTGGAATTTTTAACCTGTGTTGATTTGTCTGGCATTCCTTCATATACAGCAGTGTGTGATTCATCCATAGAGGATTCTTTTAAGAGGTGCACAGGTAGAAGTTACCTTGAAGGTAGCCCTCTTGTCTATGAGCTGAAGAGTGAAGACACATACTATACCAGAACATAAGACCTGAGGGGCAAAGAATTTCCTTAGGCCTGGCTGTACTGCGGTCATACCTTTGGACTATGTCCTAGTTGCAGAAGGACTCTGGGAGTCCTTTCTCCTCAGAAGGGTATTTCTTTATTGCCCAAAAGGGGTTGCATATGGTTTTGGGATTCTGCTTCTAAATGATTGCCAGTTTCCCTTGTAGACAACTTAATATCTAAGGATGACATCTATGTATTCAGACATAAAGCAATGATCATTAATGTGGGTTTCTTATGCCTCTGAACATTATGAAAGTTTTAGATTCTCTCCTCAGATAAATGAATAGTCACAGAATTTTTCACAAATTTCTGGGTATAAATAGGTTCAAAGTCTATTCATGATTCTCCATGAAATAAGATGTACAGCTGCTCTCCTTAGTGAGTCCAATGGGAACTTCATAGGCTATCAGTCTTTACAAGTCACAGAAAGATGAGACTACAAGAGTTAATAGTGGATTCATGTGAAAACTCATAAACCACTTGAAATTATTCCTCAGCTTAAAGAGTTAGCCATCGCTGTTCTTGATATAATTTTGTTAGGATGTTCTTCTCCCAGATCTTCCCATAGCTAGCCCTGTCTTGTCAGTTAGCTCTCTACTCAGTGTTCCCATCACAACAGGTCCTTCCCTAACCAGTCAGTGTAAAGGTAACCACCCAGTAAATAAAACACTGCCCCGATTGCCTGTTAACTTATTTTTAAAGTACTAAACTCAGGGCCTCACAATTGCTAGGCAGGTACTATACCACTTGAGCCCCTCTGCCAGCTCCGTATATTGCCTTTTTTAAAAAAGAAACAAACACAAATGTCACACATTTTCATGTTGCTGTAAGAAAGCAACTATTCATTGCTCTGTAACCACATGCAGAAAAGAACCTGGCACATGAATGCTAATAAATGTTTGTCAGATGGATCAGTAAATGAATGAAAATGTATTTGTGTAAGTTAATGTGCTAGTCCACTGTGATGTTTGTGAGTAACTTTTGGTTGTTTATTTATTTATGGTACTGGAAATCAAATCCAGAGCCTCATGCATGCTAGGCAAACACCCAATCATTGAGCTACATCCTCAGCAATTTTTGTTTTTTTAAATAAGGTGAATGTCTCAGAAAAAGTTTTATGCTATTAGAGTAAAAAAAAAAATAATTCCAAGTGAGTAATTTTATATAATGACATATTCATACAGGTTTTAATGGTTATTAAAAAGCTTAAAACAAGATGTTTAAACTAGTTATATTAAATTCTAATTTAGCATATTATATATATCGTATAGCTAAGTATAAATGCTTTTAGTATTTATGTGAAATATTTTAAAAAATATAATTAAATATATCTGAGTTTCATTAGAAGACAGGTTAGTAGTTGTTGAACTTGAATTTGTACAGTCCATTAACTTTGCAAAAATCCAAGCATGTAACTCAGTAGATTCACAGCACTGTGGTGTTGCTGTTGCTTAGTTGAGTTTGTTCTTACTTTCTCTGTTTTTTTCTTTTAGAGATGACAGTAGTATTTTTGATGGATTGGTGGAAGAAGATGACAAGGACAAAGCAAAAAGGTAGCGTGATGTGAGATGTAAGATAGTAAATAAGTGAGTAATACATAAATGTAACAGTAAATGAATAGAAAATGAATGATTTGCAAAATCTGCCTGCTTTAAGAATTTGGAGATATCAGCAAAGTGGAATTGCTTAGATGGTCATCGTGGAGTTTATTAATTAAATAAAATTGCCCTCTAACCCTTTAGAAAAGTAAGCTTTGCTTAAATTAGAAAATCTGACTTCATAGAACAGAAAATTGAAGCCACTATTAAAATGATGAATGCTTTATAAATAATCGAGTTTTTCTCAAGAGCTCTTTGTTTGCTGATTAACTGCTTCACAAAAAATAGTAATAATTATTCATTTAGCACATGTATTTTGAGTGCTTACTCTTTCTAGGTATGATGATTAAATACTTAGATGAAACATTTGAGCCTACATCCTGAAGGAAAGACAGATAAGCAAAATAGTTACATCTCTTTTGGATCTAGACATATAGAGGAAGAATAAGTGTGAGTAAGCCTGGAGGTGTGAGAGTTTATTTTTAGATTTCTATTTATGCTTTAAATACTTAGATTAGCTGGATAACTTTCTCCTATTCAGTAACTTTTAATTATTTGTACTTGTACATTATATGTACTTTCACAAAATGCTTCTCAATATTTATAATTTTATAAGTTTACAGTCCTTGGTGAATATTGGATTAAGTAAAACTTGTTATGTGAATGCAGTTTCTTATTGTCCTGTTCATAAAAAGATGTAAGTCAAAAATTTCTTTAGGGCTGGGCACAGGTGATTTGCGCCTGTAATCCTAGCTACTCAGGAGGCAAAGGTCAGGAGGATCACGGTTTGAAGCTAGTCCAGGAGAATAGTTCGCAAGACCTGTCTCGAAAAACTCTTCACAAAAATAGAGCTGGGAGTGCCTCAGGATGAAGGCCCTGAGTTCAAGCCCCAGTACCACAAAAAAAAAAAAAAAAAAAAAAACTTTAGTGATAAACTGAGATGAAAAATTGTTGCCATAATTAATAGTGTAGCCTGAGAAATAAGTATCACCAAAAGTTTGTGCTATGTCATGTCATATGATTGTAAGATATTTGTATAATTAAATGGAGTATTTAAATACTTCTTATTTTCTTTCTTCATCAGAGTATCTAGAAATAAATCTGAGAAGAAGCGTAGAGATCAATTTAATGTTCTCATTAAAGAATTGGGATCCATGCTTCCTGGTAACGCTAGAAAGATGGACAAATCTACTGTTTTGCAGAAAAGCATTGATTTTTTACGAAAACATAAAGGTAAATTTTTAATTTTGTAGAATGGGTGTTTTTTTTTTTTTTTTTTTTTAAAGTAACAGACTGTCCCTTCATAATGAGTTAGAATCTTGGTACAGGTACCTATGATTGAATACTTCCTCAGTTTTTTTAAGAGAAAGAAATAAATTGCTTTTTTAGGGAAGATTATCTGGTATGTTCTTTCTTTCATTCAACAAACATATATTAAATGTGTACTATATCTCAGATCCTAATGAAAATAGGGTAACATTTTTGCCCTCAGTTAACTCAAGTCAGAAGAGACAAATGTAAACAGATAATTAAAATACAAATAATTGAACTGTGATTAGGCTTGAAAGCTATAAACTTGCTGTGGGAACACAGAGGATAGAATGTGTCAGAAAAGGCTTAAAAATAATTTTTAAGTGAGTCTTTTAGATTAAGCAAGAACAACAGCATTTCACATAAAAAAGATAGCACGTGCGAAAGCAGAGACTTTATTGTGGCTATGATGTTTGTGTTGGAACACAATGGCTGTATTTGAAAGAGTGTCACTTTAAAAGGTTATGTTAGTTTATAGCTAGGAAATAAACACGGTTTTAAATTATTGTCTCTGTTACTTGAAGAAAATCTTGACTAAATGAGTCATGAAAAGAAAATGTTGAAATATTAAGTATTTTGGTAGCAGAGATACTATGAAACTGCAGAACTTCTCAGGAGGAGAGGTGGTAACTAGTGCCTCTGTTTGCTTATCCCTGGGCAAGGATAGGGTACTACTGGAGTGGTTTATGGGCCACCACGCTTTGTAATTATTTTTACTAATTTCAGTAATGACAGTGCCACCCATCCCCAATACAGAAAACCCTTTTCTTATTTCTCATTCTCTTGCGCATGTCTGTAGAACTGGAAGTTTTGATCAGTTCTCCATTGAGTTTCTTTTCCCTTGGCTTCTGTTACATTGCGCTGCTTCTTCTTTTTCCTAACTGAAGTTAACCTCTTTTTCTTTCTCTGCCTTCCTAAGTGCTTATTGTTGTGTTCTTATTTCCTAAGTGCTTATTGTTGTGTTCTTATTTTCTCTACAGTCTTTCCCTTGGTTATCTCATTTCATAGCTATAGCTATTACATCTCTATGGAACTACCAGATCTTTATTTGTAGATGCAAAATTTTCATCTTTGCATTTCCAGATAACTTCTAGATACTTCTTTTGCATGTCCCCAAAGGCATTCCTCTAAAGCTAAATTAATTTTCATTTCATCAAGTCACTTCTTTTAAATTTGCCTTTTTTTGTTTTTATACCACTTTTTTAGTCATTCAGGACTTAAACATGATATACTTTTGAATTTTTTTCATCTGTTTTAGTACCGTATCACAGTTGCTGTTACTTCTTTTGTAAGTGTGTCAGAATTGCTTATCTTCAGTTTTATTGCCACCACTGGCATTATATGGTACCTCTGTAAGTAGCATTCTCACTAACCTCAGTGTCCCTTACTGGGTGGCATACTCTCTGAAATCAGTCCCTTAAAAGTCCTAAGAGCTCAGTCAATGATTGTTGAATGAAATGAAATGATACATTTCCCCTGACAGTAGAGCATTAGTTTTGGCATTAAGTAGATCATTTCTTTTCAAAGTTGGATATATTATTCTCACAAAAGTCAAATTTTTATGCTAAATTAAAAGGGAATTCTGAAATACTTGTCCCTCTAAAATAGGCGTATGTTTAACAAACTTGATTGGATTTGCTTGTGAATTTAAATCCTTTCCCCTAAATGTATATAATTGATATGAATTTGAAAAACATGACTATATACCACAGAATTAGTAACTATACTTTTTAGTTACTCTTATTTTCCAGTGTAGGCAGTTCTCATATGCCAAATTTGGGATGGCAATTTAATATGTTAAATTTATATATCTGACAATAAAGCAAAATAACATAATCCTTAAGGTACACTACAAAATATAGTTTATAGAGTACAGCCTATAACATAGATTTTTCTTTTGTTTGGTTGTTGTAATACGTCTGCATTTAAAAATAGAAAGACCTGGTTACCTAAACAGTTCAGATATAATTTATGAAAAACTTTCTCATGACCAAATCTATTAGAATTTTGTAGCAAAATAAAAGTAATAATTATAATAAAATATGTGTCTTATGTCAGGGGTTTCCAAATTTTTGATCAGTTCTCTACCTCTAAAAATATATACAAAGAAGACACTGAGGAAAGTCACTGTGGTAATAATATTACTTTGAAGTTTTTGCCTGAAAATCTTACTTAATCTCCTGGTTTAATTAAGATAAAGCACATAAAACTGGGAGCAATCTTTTTGCATAGCAATAAGTAGGCCTAAGGTCTTCTGTGTTCAAAACAGTCTGACTGACCTCATTGGCTTTTTTCCTTGAGGCTCACTTCTTATCTCTGCTCTAGATATCACCATTTGAGTGGGGAGGAAAAAAGAATTTCTTCAGACTGTTTGGAATAATCTTGATTTAAATCTGCTTGTTCTTATTCTCATTTTACAATTGTGTCAAACAGGAAGCAGTTTTGAGCTAGACATAAAGGCTATCAAAGCTTCCTAAGGAAAAAAAGCCAAAGAAATTGGTTTTACCAAGAGACTGTGTTCAAAGAGATAACTTTCCACATTAGTGCAAATATTTCATCATACCAAATCCTGACCTCCTGTTACAAAGACCAGTAAATGTTATTGCCTATCGTTCTCATCTTAAAGAAAAGGCAACTTGTAGATTTTTGTACTTCCCCCAGTGGTTGGAGGATACCACTAATGTGTCAATCTGTTTACAGAAATCACTGCACAGTCAGATGCTAGTGAAATTCGACAGGACTGGAAACCTACATTCCTTAGTAATGAAGAGTTTACACAATTAATGTTAGAGGTATGTTCAGATTTAATTTTTGAAAGCTTTATTTTCCTCGAAAAAGAAATCATAGTAGTGATTAATTTCAGTTTTAGCAATATTAATAATGAAAAGTCTTAATTCATTGTAAATGTAATAAATGATGTATGTGTAAAAGTAAAATTGATCAATGTTAAGTATAACAAATAAATAATACTGTTGTAGAGTATACCAGATTTTCATATTTGAATTTTTGAGGTACTTTTTAAAGTAGCTACTGAGTTCTCCACCTGAGACTATGGCAACTACATTCTTACAAGAAATAGGATTATTATCACCTATTAAGTATTATGAAATATGTCTGTTTTGGTCCACTTGAGCTGCTATACCAAAATATTTATATTGAGTAGCTTGTAAACAGCAGAGATTTATTTCTCACAGTTCTGGAGACTGTGAAGTCTGAGATCAAGGCACCAGTGGGCTTGATGTCTGATAAGAGCTCTTGATTCCTGTTTCTTCACCCTTAGCCTAATCACCTCCCAAATACAATCAATCACATTGGGGATTAGGTTTCAATGTTTGAATTTTGCAGGAGGACACAAGCATTTAGTCTGTAGTTACAGTCTACTGGGCAGTAGGTTATGTTTTAAAACAAATTAAAATCTGCCTAAAACAACACAAAATAGTAATAAATGAAGTGTTTTGGAAATATAAAAAAGTGAAATATATATCGAAAGGCAACTTTTTAAAGTAGAAACTTTTAAAAGGAAAGAGCCAGGTGTTCTGTGGCAAAATACTTTTTAAAAACAATTCAGAATTTTTACTTATAATTGCAGACCTTATTATCTCATATAACCAATTACAAAATGCACAAACATTTTGAATCACTCATACCTATTAATTTTATTTTCCTACTCTTTAATCTCTTCATATGAAGAACAACATATCATCTGTGCACAGATCCAGAATTCAGTATCAAATTTCCATGAAAACTTTGAATAGGACACTTTGTAAGCAACAGTTAATGACAAGAAAAATAGATGCTTAAGGGACCAGTCCCAGCTACTCCAGAGGCTGAGACAGGAGGATCAGGGATTGGTGGCCAGCATGGGCAACAGACCCTCTCTCCAAAAAAAAAAAAAAAAACTCTCTAAGAAAGTGGACATAGAAAGAATACAAGAAAGTAATTGAGATAAGAATGTAGAGGTTGTTGAATGATGTGCTGGCCCCTTGTTTGTGTTGTTTTACACCTTGAGCATTTATCTGTGTCATGTATGTGTATAATGGCTGTGTCTCAGAATGTCTTTGTAGATTTATATGAAAAGTCTGAAGTAAAAACAGTATTTTGCAAATAATGAGGAGTTTTTTTTTTGGCTTATACTTTAGATGGAACAGTTAGGTGCTGGATTCTTTGTGTATTCAGTAGAAACATTGCTATATGAAAATTTGTTGGAGTGTAAATATATTGTAAATATTTAAGCCTCTAAAAATGAAACACTTCGCATATTTACTCATTGATCCTTACAACAGTCTTATGAAGTAGTCACTAGCATCTGTGTGTCATAACAACTAGTATTATGAAGTAGACATTAATATCTCTTTCTCTAGGTAAGGAAATCAAAGAACAAAAGCATTAGGAAATTTGCCCAAAGTCGTGTAGCTAATAATGGAATCCACTGCAAACAGCTTGGTCTCTGATGCCCTTAGCCACTGTGCACAGTGCTTTTCTTCTCAGTCAGCGAAAACTGGCATGGCAAGGGGAATTTTCAGCTCTGAAACCAGCAATTAGGTCTTTAAATTAGTATATACTTAACACACAAGCCAAAGGTGTTCCTCATTGTATTAAACTTTCCTCTGAAAAGTAGTTGGATATTACCTAAAAATATCTTAACGATATAAGTAATATTTATGAAAGGGCATACCCAAGCATATGTCTACAACAGAGAAAGGAAATGACTTATTTAGTTTTTGTTTGTTTATTTGTTTAGGTGATACTGTGGTTTGCACTCAGAACTGTGCCTCCAGCTCTTTTGTTCTGGTTGTTTTTGACATAGGGTCTTGCTTTTTGCCTAGGCCAGCCTGGATCCTGGTCTTCCTGTTTGTGCTTCCTGTACTAACGGGGCTGACAGACATGTGCCACCATTCTCAACTTTTTTCTGTCTCTTGAGCGTTTTGCCCAGGCTGGCCTCGAACCTCAAGCCTCCTAGTCTCTGCCTCCAAATTGCTAGGATTACAGGCATGAGCCACTGGTCCCTGGCTAATTTTTAATTTTTATTTCATTATAATATATTATCAATAAGATTGTCTGTGTTCATTATAAATTACTTATGGAAATTTTCTTATAAATTAAAAAAGTGTAATTATCTGTTCTTACTTATTAATAACCTTAATGTAAGAAAATTACCTGTTTCATTGCTAATCTAAACAAAATGTTATCTTCACATTTTTTTCCATAATGAAAAGATTTTATTAGTTGCTAAGGCACATGTCATGCATACATAGGTAAGTATCAAAGAAAAAAATAAACCAAAGATTCCAGAGATGATGACATTATTTATAACAGAAAATAGTAAACTTTGAAAATATAAATTAATTATCATGATTATCCTCATGCATATTAGATTTACATTCCTAAAAAATGTTGTATTTATCTATTTTTAATATGTCAAGAGTATTTTTATTTTAATATGTACAATTTAACTATTTAAGTGTACCTTGTAACATTAGTATATGAAGATGAAGGATGCAGGTGTATATGTGTAGACATTATACCTAGTCCAGATGTTTGTTTACATTTGACTTCAGATACCTAATTAAAGTCCTCCCAAATATGCTGATTGAATATGAAAAATTTTGATTCATAATGTAGAACTGGTTTTGTTCATAAAATGGAACTGATTGTAAGTTTATTTGGCTAGAGCATAACCTAATTGTGTTGCTCTTGGCTAGTTGTGTTGATCAGATTGCAGATGAGCAGGCCCCATAACATTGTCAGCAGAATTTCAGGTGCAGGCTGTATCTTGGAATGTTAGATATGCGGTAGAATAAATCAGATCATTTAAGCTCAACCTC